ATGTGACTCACAAATCAATTCAAATATTTACATTCCACCATTACAGCTTGGAGAGATAAACTCTGTGCCTATATTTAAACAAGAGCAGGCTCCAGTTTCTACAAGTGGTTGTACATGAACAACACCTTAGGGCTTGCAAGGGTTTCTTGGAATGGCAAGGGACCTCCTTTCCCTCAGGGAGCAGTGTTTGCCTGCATGAGCCATCTTTAAGCACCTGGGCTCTCAAAACCCCCTGTGCTGAATATGTCCAGACAACAGAATTCCTCTTCAGAGAGGTACTGAATGGAACACTAGGAGAGGGAAGCAAATCACACAGCTGTATCTTACAGTCATCTGTTCCTGCCCCCCCATTAGATTGCACTTTGAATATTCTACCTTGCTCTAAGCCAAAGAAATATGGAAGAGAACACAACAATAACGAGAATTTCATGCAATGTCTAATAAACCCACAGTAAGGGCGTGACAAGCTTAAAGAAGATGCATCTGAAGAAGAAATATTTCCAATAAGTATTCAGATAAATGACATTAAGAACTCTAAGACAAAAACCTGCAGAGCCCAAATGTGTTTTTACCATAAATACATGGCCCACAATTCCCAGGTGTGCTGAACGTCCCAGCTCCAACACTGCCTTCCAGTGCCTGTGGAGTGTGTGCCCATGAGCATCATCACACTCATTCCAGTCCAGTCAGGAAAGGAAAAATCCCAAAGCTGAGTGAGGAGAGGGCAAGGCTGGAATGATGGCAGCTGGGTCTGGAGTGTGGAAGAGTCAGCCTTGCTCCAACAGCAGTGAACAGCCCTGTGTGCCTGTGCAGGGATCGAGGGAACAGAAATGATCAGTCTCCAGCACACACAGTGAAAACTCTCCTGACCCTGCTCTGGAGAGGTTCCGGAGCCAAGGGGAGGCCCAAGAGGAGTGACAGACACTCCCTGCATGCAGGATGCCTGGAGGATCTGGAACCCTGGGGTGTTAAAGGGGCTGACTAAACTCCCTGTTTTTATCCTGCACTCCCCACCCCAAGGACAGCAGTGTGGGAATGTCACACAGTCCTGCACCCCTGGCACCACTGACAGCACTTTACAGATGGAGCTGCTGCCGAATGTCTCTTCTGCAGGAGGTGAAACTATGACAAAGTGACTCGGCCAAACTCATCCCAGCAGGTCAGCAGCAGAAATGGGAATAAAATGTGGGACTATTGAGGCCCTGCGTGGTGCATTATCCACCAGGTAGAGGATCCCAGAGCTCTCCAAAGGAGCCCCTGCTGCAACTCACTTGGCTGAAGCCTGTTTTCTGCAATGGCTGGATGTGTTCTAAATTGCTACAGATTTCAAAGACATGCCCATATCAAAAGGTGCACCCTTTAAAGAAATAAGGAAAGAAGTCACAGATCTAATCTCTTAGATTAGATTTAGGCTGAAAGTTTTTATTCAGCTGCTCCTAAGTGTGCTCCCACTGAAGATAAACAGAGGCACAGGACATTCTGCCTGCAGGCAGCCAGAGATTAAGATGTAAATGCTACATTTGTTTAGATTAACCAAGCAGAAATGTAAAAAACAACTCAAATAAAGTATTTCCACAATTTTTCACTTCACTACAACCTTTGGTTACACGGCTGGGTCCATCTGCTGCCTACACAGTCCCTGGAGAGAAGGCCAAGTAAAGAGGCAGGTGAACAGCAACTCGAGGCTTCAGTGACTGTTACAAAACCTGCAGCACGGACACAAACACAGCTCCACGTGCAGAAAGGCAGCTGTAAAGTTGTATCCGTGGTTTTTAACTCAAAGCATGCTTTTCCAGCTTGAATAAGCTGGTCTCCACCTTAGTCTTATTCTAGATCCCAATCAACTACGTGAGTCCATCTAATGACATTTAGACATTAACAGGGTACACAGTTTGCAGTGGAAATGAGGCTGTATCCAGGCTCTGAGGACAAAACTTGCAGTACAGGTATTAACCTGGAAACTCATCCTAAGCAGTGTTAAGTACATAACACTGATGCTACCCCGTGTTTGCCACACCAGGGAAGCACAGAGCCTTCTGTCAATACCAACACTTCACTCTGAAAGCGTTTGAGCTCACAGATCTCTACAAAACCCTCAGAGGACTGGCAGACAGGAGAGTATAGAAATTCAGAGAGTTGTTTTGAAAGTACTGCTGAGAGAAACCTTTTCGCCCACGGAGACTGACAGCTCAGTGCATGTGGGGACTCCGACAGTGAACCTTCCGCAGTGAGAGCAGTGCGGTCAGTGCCGTGCTCCGGACACCGCTCACCCCGCGGGGCACCGACAGCGCCGACCGCCCTGCACTCGAACACCTTCTGCGCTGCCTCAGGTACGGAGCTGCCCGGGCGGCGGGAGCTGCTCCCGCTCCCCCCGAGCCCCGCAGCCGTCCCCGCCCGGCCCGGGCGCCGCTGGCCGGGCTGCGCCCCGCGCACACGCCGTGCGCGGCGGGACGGGCCCGGGGGCTGCCCCGGCACGGCCCCTCCGCCCCGCCCCAGAGCCCCGGCCCCGCTCCAGGACACACCGGCACTTGTTGCGGCCGCTCCGGGCCCGCCGGGGCTCCGGGCCCGGCCAGGGGGCGGCCCGAGGCCCGGCCCGGGACCCCGCGAGCGCCGCGGCCCCGCTCCCCGCCGCACCTGCCCGGCCTCACCATTGTGGTTGACCCAGGTCGGCTTCAGCAGCTTCATTGTTCCCGCCGGGGGCCCCCGCCGGCCCCCGCCCTCGGGCCCCCGGGCTGGCGGCCCGGGCTGGCGGCGCGGCCCGCGGCGCTCGCGGCCGGCGGGCGGAGGGCGCGCACAGCCCGCTCCGGCCGGGCCCGCCGGCGATCCGGCACGGCCGGAACCGGCCCCCGCCTCAGCGGCCCGGCGGGAAACAGCGCCCCCGAGCGCGGCGTTCCGCGCGCCTCGCACAGCCCGCCCCCTGCCGGGCGGCAACGGCGGGGCGGGGCGGCGCGCGGAACCTTCGTGCGCCGGAACGGCGGGCGCGGGACCCGGGCGCGGGCGGAGGGGCCGCGGGAGCACCGCGGGGCCATGTGGGCGGTGGCGGCGGCGGCGCGAGGGCTGCGTGGGGCCCAGGCCAGGTACGGGCGGGGGGACCCGGCACCGCCCCGGGGGGACCCGGCACCGCCCCCGGGGCCGCGGGGAGGGAGCCCAGGCAGTGCCCCGTGCCTGCCGAGCCCGCTCCAGCCGCGCCTCGGGGCTGCTCCACGCCCGGAGTCCCTCGGCGGGCCGGGCCTGCCCCGGACTCCCGCACCAGGAGGAGCCGGTGCGCGGGCACCTGCTTCGCCCTCCCATAACACCGTCGAGATCTGAGTAACATGTCTCCTAATCCGAACGGCGGTGCTTTTATCTCTCCCAGACCAACACCTTAAACGAGCCATTGTCAGAGCTTAAAGTTACTGTAACCTACCTAAAAAAAAGTCTGTGTTTTGGTCCTCGGTATCCTGTGGGCGCACAACACCGACCAGCCTGGGGTTGGGTTCAGTGACCTCGCTGGAGAGTTCGAGGTCATCTCTGGGCAAACGCTGGATCCTGCCCTGAGTTGAGATGGTTCAAAACTCATCACTCACTCCTGATTAACAAGTAGCTCTTGTGCCACCAGAGTCGGTTTCTCCTCACGCTTTATGTTCCTGTTCCTCCTGCAGCTCGTGGCTGCCCCAGAGGGGCCCGCTCCGAGGGAGTCACTGGCAGAGCTCTGTGCTGACCCTCAGGACATCCCTCCCCGTGAGGTGAGTGCAGCTGCCTTGGAGTTACAGAGCAGTGTTCTCAAGCGCGGGGAACACAAATCTTCTCAAGTCCAAATTAACCTTTACCTGTGCATGTTTAAGTGGAAATTCCACTACTTGAATAAAGTTCATGGCTGGAACTTCTATTAGGGACTAAATTAAGCAATGGGAAGGAACAGTCCTTGGAAAACTAAAGTGAAAGTTGCTGGTGTTGAATCAAAGTACAAAATACTTTTTTTATTTACTATTTCCCTTGTAGAGCACAACCAAAGAAGAAGAAGAAAGTGGATGTGAAGAGAGAGCAAGCACAGAAGGATCGTATGAAAAAGAAGCTTAAGAAGTTGGAAAAAGCTGCCCCAGAACTGATTCCCATTGAGGATTTTATAACCCCACTCAAGTACTCAGACAGCAACAGGTCAGTGGCTCTGGTTTTACCACGTGCCTGCATTTGCAGTGAATTTCTTTCTCTGCACAACTGCAGCCAGCCTTGGTACAAAACCTTATCCACTTCCATAAGGACAAAAACGTGAAAAGGAAATTTTATTTGTTCTTGCTAAAAGTAATGAAAAAACAGTAACATGAATTTCCTGTTAGAATGACGGGGGTGTCCTTGCAGACAGACTAAATTATTAGTAAACTAAATGTATTCTCTGGGTTTGGTGGTTCTGTTGTTGTTGTTGTTTTAGTGGTTTGATTTTTTTGATTTGGTCTTTGAAGTCAGGCTGTTTGTCTCTCACAACGTTACCCCACTCTTTGCCAGGGTGCGAAGCCTTCCCGCTCTGTCTCCTGAAGAGACTGAAAGAAGAGTTTTACTTCTGAAGAAGTGGTGTTTGTTTAAGCAGAAGCAAGATGAGGCAGAAAAGAAAGGAATTCAGCGCCTTGTGGAATCTCAGCAAGAGGCACTAAAGGAACTGCGCCTGGAATCCGAGGAGCTGTACCAGGCAGCCATCCGACGGGATGAGGGGCTGTTCCCCTTCCAGAGGGACGGACCCACCCACACCCCCCCCCTTCCTGGCTATGACCCACCCGAGGGAAAGTGCGCTGATATCACCAAGGTGTACACACAGTGAGGGAGGAGGGCCTGGGGCACCCGCCAGGAGCTGCTCAGCAACTGAAGGAAGGAAGGAAGGACTGAAGGGAGAAAGAACACACAATTCTTCTGCAGGTTACAACGCTGCAGGTGTGTGACTGTAAATAAAACATTAGTGAAGTATCTGTGTGTTTGGATGTTTTTAGGAATTATCCAGGTAGTAAGACACCCAGCCAAGCTACACAACCTTACCCAGCGACAAAGCCAGTTTTTTTATTTTATTATATTGCCACATAACTCCTGTAACCAAGTTTCCATGGGTTTGCCCTAAACCAAACCAGATCTCTCTCTACATTTGTTTAAACCTTTATTTTTGTAGTAGTTTTGAATACTACCACAACACACACCATCATTCAAGAGTAGTTCCACAAAGGGGCAGTTTCAGGATCTGCAGCACCTCCCCATCAGGTGAGAAGCTCTTAACCCACAACAATCCTGTTCTGGGAAATGCCTTTTAAATGTCCTGAACTGGAGGGAGGATTCCCAGCTTGTTTTTTTCCCCATTTGCAGGCCTGGGGTTGGTACCTTGTTCCAAAAGCGCACACCACCAGCTGGTAGGGGAAGAGGCCCTGATCTAGCAAGAGGAGCTGGATCATGTGTGCATTAATTTGGGAGTTGCCTGCTGAGTTGCTGAGACAGAATCCTAAAGTGTAAGATAGCAATACAAGACCGGAGACAAATTAAGCACCTCAACTCTCCCTTTAAAAAATACTCAACGTTTAAATAAACTCTCAGTACTTTTGAAAGAGTGCTCAAGTATTGCAGGGCAGAGCTACAGTTGTATAACTTCAAGATGACATGGAAGAAAAAAAAGGCAGCACAGTTCTGAATTGTGTATTAAGTTACTGACCAAACACAGCAAACAATCTTCCTAATTTGGTTTGTCCTGGTCAAGGGGTAGATACCAGTCTGGTGGGGGGCTCTTCCTGAGTGTCCACACCGGAGCATACTTCTGGCTTTCCATCACTCGAGCTCTTTCACTCTTGCACAAAGCTTCCTGAAACAGAGGAAAAATATTACCATGATAGTGTTGGATATTCCAGTCCTACAGAGCCCATTTCCTGTTGTGACTATCTGAGATAAAAGAAGAAATTTATCATGCTTAAACAGAAGTGCCAAATGCTATCTAAGTAAGCCAGGATACAGGTTTTTAACTAAGTCATATTTTGCCTGTGACTCCTGCATTACGAAGAGAACTGCCAGTTCTGTGCAACCCTCCCTGCCAAGGGCTTTCCTGCCTGGCTGCAGGGACGAGTTACGCTGTAGCCTTTGCTGCAGGGCCCGAGTCCTCCAGCGTCTGTGGGGCTGTAGCCAGAGGCGTTTCTGGACACCGCAGGTATGCGTTTTGCCTGTAGCGTCGCAGCTTTTCCTATCGGGAAGGGAATGTCACAGTAACTGAAATCAAGGGCTTTGCAGCAGAACACTGAAAATGCTCCCTGGAACCTTAAGCGGATGTCAAGACAATCCTACCCACCCGCTTTCCCAAGCCCTCCCCGCAGCCGCAGCAGCCCCGGGCGGTACCTGCGCGGCGGCGGCGCGGTGCCGCTCCCAGGCCCGGCAGGCCTCGTAGTCCTCCCGCCAGCGCCCGCAGGCCGGCAGCTCCCCGTGCGCGTAGTAGTGGTGGAAGGCGTGGCGCAGCCCGCGGCAGTGCTTCCACTCCCCCCAGTAGTCCTCGCACGGCCGCGGCGGCTGCGGGCGGACACAGGGCCGGGCTGAGCGGAGCCGAGCCCCGCCGAGCCCCGCCGAGCCCCGCGCCCCCTCACCCGGCCCCGCGCCCCCTCACCCGCCACGAGCCGCCCGCGTCCGCCATGCCGCGCCTCCGCCAATGGCCGCCGCGCTTACGGCGACGCACGAGGGCGCGGCCAATGGCGAGGGGCGGCACAAAGCGGCCCCAGGCCGGCGAGCCAATGGCTGCCCGGCGGGCGGCGCGTGAGCAGCGGCCCCTCACAGCGAGCCGGGACGCGGCGGGAAGGAGGCCCCGCTTCGGTCTGTCCGAAATCACCACACAGGGACGCGGCTGGTTACCAGGGTCCTTTACTTTCAGCACAGCGCAGAGGTTGCCCCCGCGTACCCTCGGGTGACACCCACACGGCCGTTCCAAAGCAGGGCAGCGCAGCGCAGCTGGGTCTTGCCTCTCCCTACACCTGCCATTAGATTGCTACGTTATAGTATCTGAACTATTAAAAGGCATGTTAATAATTATAAATATAAAAAGCACTTACAGGGGGTTTGCTTAAAATGGTTGAGAACCCAACACCTGAAGCTAAAGCTCAAGGAGACTCCCTGCACAAAAGTCCTAAACACCAAAGTGTCAGCCTTCACCTGCACCACACCAAAAAAGCTTACCTGAAATTGTGGCAAAATGATATATAGAGGGAGGAAAATACCAAGCAAAGAGTGACATGAGACCATCATCACTCAGGATAGGAGAGGAGGATGTAGTCTAAGAACTGGATCTTTAGTAAAGTAGAGCTTGTTAGTTTTACTTCTCAGGTTGATCAGAGATCGACATTCACCTCTTTACAACACATACAAAAAGCTCCTTCCAAATTCCCAGGACTCAATTTTCAACTGAAAATTAAGACAGTCTGACAGCTCCGGTTTTAAACATGAAACCAAAACCAGTAAGAGGGTTCCTATGTTGCAAAACGATCTCTCCTCTCAACTGCAATAACTAAGATCCAATATGCTGCAACTGTTACTTTATTTTCCTCCTAACTAACTGAAGGTACCACAGCCTAGGGCTTCCTTCCCTTTTTGCGCAGGGACTGGCCTTCTCCTGAAAAGGCAATAAACCGGCTTCCAGATTCATCCTGGAGAAAGAAAAGAGGGAAAAAAGGTTGTTACCTCTTTGCTCAGTGCTTGTGTGTGATGAAAGCTGAACGATCATTGGCAAGAACATTCCATCAGAGCAGCCACTGACTGCAGACATTTCCCATCCTTAATCTAGACATTAACACTTTCTTCCTGAAAACAAAACAGGAGTACTTCGGCGGCCTTGCAGCCACCTGAAATGAAGGTGCACTGGCTCATTACACACCAGGCCCACCTTTTTACATCAGTAACAAGGACACCAGAGGTTGCTTTCACATAACTCACACCAGTTAACTGCTACCACTTTTTAACAGAAGAATGCTGCGAAAATCAACTACGGGGAGAGGAACCACAAACTTGGGCCATAGTTCTAATGTTCTAATTCTGTGCAAGACTAGGAGCACTCAACTTTATTTACCTCTTCGACTTTCTTTACCAGCGGACGTGAGTTTCTAATGAATGTGATTCTACCAATCTTGAAGTCATAGTTGGGAATTCCTCTGGAAGAGAAGCATAAAAATATTATGAAAGAAGTTTTATACCTACCACGGAATTGAACACAGCGAGACCTGTTCCATGTCCGTCAGTGTTGTACCAACACTCACTGCATATTTCCATTACTAAATAATTCCAGAGTTAAACCACTGAATTCTTTTCTGAAGGTTCATACACTGCATGAGGTAAATAACCAAATACTGGAGTTGCTGTGAAAGCTTGGCCAGGGTCATGTTTCCTTGGGGCCTGTGGATAAGACCATTTATTTTCTAAAGGCAAGTTTATGATGAAATTAGTTTGTTTATATTGCAAGAGCAGGAAAAAACCCCTAAAACTCTACTCAAACACTGCTTCTTCACTTGCTGACAAGTGAATGAAACATACCTTCGGATGTCTCCTGGTTTAATTGGTGAGGGACTAGGCTCCACACCTTTCTTCTTGCCATCCAGTCTGTTCCCAGAACCGGAGAATGCCTATGGATACATAATGAGTTTTCATTTAACTTCTCGTATTTGAAAGTTCAGTGCACAGGGACACTATATTCTGTGCAATCTCACGGTCATTTTTATTTAGTTATTTGATTCAGCATGTTTCTTTTTGGTGCATATAAGCTGATGGGCCCTGGGTGCAGGGGTATGTTTCGGTCTCCCATTTACAGAATGCCCTTTACAGACAGCAAGTCATCCAGTTCCTGGTTGCAATCACCATAAAACACTTGCAGGTACTCACTAGTTATATGACAGTCGCCTCTCAGGACAGATATTAGTATTCTGCAGTTGTTTGAAACAACTTTCCCTCGCCATTCTACAACATTCAGAAACCAGCAGAAATAGGGGACTTACACGAAATCCTATGTCACTCACATATCCACTATGGTCTGCTTCCACATCCTGGGAGGGAGAAAACAATGGAGTTCATTGTGCTCATGTTGTACACACACAACATGTGGAAACAGTCCCACGTACTTCTGACCAAACAAAACTTCAGAACAATCCCTTTCCAAAACCAACAGTTGGTAAACAACCATCTCCTAAGTAACACATGCTCCTGGTAAGTCAATTTTAACCTTAAGAACTTGTTTCAGGAAAAAAAAATTATGTTGGGGCTCACTGCTTCCCCACAAGCAATGCTGACTTCTAGGGAATACATTTTGGAAGAACAGAAGCGTAACCTACTGTGCTCTCTTCGTGTTGTGCACTTCTTTCTGGTTCTTTGTACCCCAAAGGAGCATCAAAATCCACCTATTTACACAAAAAGCATGAAAATAAATGCGGTTAATATTTTTCTTTTAATCATAAGCTTTATACTACTATTCCTCCAAACTCCACAAACTATCATGACTACATTTGATCTAGAAAGAGCTGAGGTTTGTTGTTGAACGTTTTAACTCAAAACTAAAAAAAGACTAAGCCTCCCAGGAATGAGCCTTAGCACGTAATTGAAACAGAGCAGTAAAGCAGCACCACAGTATCACTGGAGTCTGAGTCAAGACAAGGCTATTAAATAAAACCCAGATAAAACACACTGAAGCTAACCATTAAATTCGAGGCACTAGTCACCTGATGGTACATGAAGTGCCACTCTAGACCACGGATGTGGTTACAAAGGCACGTGGAGTCCTCTCAAATGAGTCACCGTCCCCACCCATCTGCTAGTACCTGTTTTGCAGCACAGAGGTGCTGGAGGTACAGCACTATCCCTCCCCCAGGAGGACACAGTCAGGGCAGACCTTCCCCATCAGCTGTCACTTACATTCATGTCACACTCGATGATGGACACGGCCTTATCCGGTTTGGTCTCCATCACCCGCAGCTCGTAGATCTGAAACAGGAATGGGTATTTTAGCACTGCACGGCAAAAAGCTCAACTTTATGTATAAGAAAGCACATATAAGCCCTTCCCTTCAAACAGCTTCAAGAAAACTGCAGTAAGTGCTCTAGGTTGAGGACTGGATACTGCAGGGTCTCTACAGAACTTAAGAGCAAAGGTTTTTAACTCAGAACCGAGAGAACCTACCTATTATTGTACCTGGCTGCACTCTCACTGTACTTTAATCCGCACTTTTGAAAACAAATTAGGATAAATTCTGTCCCTTGGCTTGTAAAAACTTTAACAGTGCAAAGGTTTATTTTCTTGTGAGTCAAAAGAAAGTTTAAACAGCAGTTCAGGGAAAGGCTTAAATGACCCCTTTTCCCCTCCAACAGAAAACCCACTGCGAAATCTCCCATTTGGAATTACTTCTCAACAACACTGCACAGCTCTGGGTTGGCTGTCTTAGCACCAACATCCAACAGCTGAACTTAGTCCACAACCCTCAACCCTCTACTGTACCTTTTCATTGTAGTTGATGGCAATAACATCCCCAGTCGTCAGACAGGCAAAGTTTCTCAATGCATTTTCTAATCTTCAGAGCACGTTAAGATGAAAGACTTGTATTCAAGGCAACATCAAAGCTTTAAAGTTACTGTATTATAGACCTCTGATCCTCAAACATGGTTTAAAAATCATCAGCACACCAGAGGTAGCCTTTTAGTAAACATTAGGGTGTACAAGTTCTTCAAAGGGACACTCAAAATTCATTGGACTTTTAAGCCAAGATTCCTGCTGCTTCACTCCAGGCCACACTTTGTGCCAGCAGCTGGCCACATCTCTGTACAACAGCTCTCCATCCCTTTTGTTTTCAGAAGGAGCAGCAGTAGTCACCTACTAACAGAAGAGTATGAGCTCCACCTGGAAAGTTAGCTCTGCCTGATTGTTCCAGTTTGGGAGAAAAATCTTTTTCCATCATCGAATAGGAAGGATACACAGCTTTGGGATTGGTGATGTCAAGAAAATCTGGACTCTGTGGCTGAAATTTTGAGTAAGTAGCAACCTGCAGATTAACACTCTCCACTTGCACCAGGCCTCCTTCTTCCAGCAGCAAGTTCTGCATCATCTGCAAGAATGGAAACAAAGATACAAACCACTGTCAGTATGTCTGATGTTTTCAAATCTCTTTCTTTGTGCATATCTAGTTTTGCTGGGGCCACCACCTTCCTTGACATGCACCTGTTTACCCCGGTTTCACTTCAGGAATAACAGCCAGGTGCACCTTAAACACAGGCTGCTTTGCTTAGTTAACCCCTCGAGGAGGGAAACCTGAGCTGGGACTGAAAGCTGTTGGAACACGACACATTCAGGAAACGCTGCACTTCTTTACTGTTAAACTGGCAAGTTGTGAATGCTGCTGTTGAGGTTGTGTCAGTGCAGCAGGAGCAGCTCACCCAGTGTGGCAGGTAACAAATGCCCTCGTCAGCCACGAACTCGAGCACGCCGCAGTGCGTCATGCGGTCCGAGTTCTTGTTGGTCAGCTTGAACAGCATGGGGTAAGTGATGTTCAGGCGGCCTGCGACAGAGGGGAGGAAAGCTCTGTCGGTCAAAAGCCACCAACACATTGCTGAAGCTTTCAAACATCACCAAGAGAACGGGCCAGACTGCAGGAGAGGATTCCCCTCCCACCATTATCCCAACTGCTCCAAACTACAAATCCAGGAGAGAAAGCAGATACCCAAATACTGTGGTGGCATCACAGCTGGAGCTTTAAATCCTCCCCCAGCCTTTCCCCAAGCTCAGACATGAGCAGGCAGCAGGAATGAGAGAGGAATCTATTACTGTTATGTCCTTGTGCTGTTATTGCTCAGCATCTACCGAATGACTTCTAACAGGTCCTGCCCATTTTAAAACTGAATGACTAAAGTAATTTCTCAAAGAAATTCTATTAAGACTAAAACTCCAAGGGGGAAAAAAAACCCCTTAGTTAAAAAGGCTAAAAAAGACCCTTTATGTTGTTGATTTGGTTATCTTTTCCCCAATTCAAAGTTAATTCTCACTTATTTTGTTTTTAAAATAAATTTTGCTGCAGACAACATTATCCAGGACAACGTGGCTGAAATTAAGAATTTACAAGATTAATTGTAACCATTATTCTGAGTGCACTATTAATAGTTAATAAATATTGATTCACACCTCAGGTAGCCCAACACTTCAGATGTCTGTACTTGAAGACAGACAAGCCCCATTAATTCTGACAGGAAAAACACCTTCAGAATACATTTTTTAACTAATTGGTCTATTCTCTATTTAAGTCAGACTTCAAGAGGTAGCTAAAACACTGTGGCATTTGCCTACACGTTTGCTCATATTTCGAATGTTATTGTTCCAGAATAAAATATTCACTTACTGAGTTGATCCAAAGCCGATGGTGGCATAATTACTGCAGGGATGAACAGAAATGGGAGATTAGAAAAAGCACATCTGTACAAGAGTACATAACATACGACTTTACCATTCCTTTCTCTAGTCTCCTCTAAAGAGAAAGGAGATTCTAAAATCTCCTGCAAATTCATTTTTAGCCAGAGATTTCAGTAGAAACAGTCATGATAAATGTACTTGCTAATGGTAATTCAGAATTTAATCAGAAAAGAAAAAAAGAGAGGACACAAGGTTTTACAATACCTAGTGCTAAGACAAATAGTTTCTAAAGCTAATTTTACTTGTTTGGGCTCACAGGTGCTCTTTAATGACACCAACTCAAAACAACACAGCACTGATCTGACAGCTTGAAAATGAAGTTAGCCAATTTATTATTCTTTGTTCAACCTAAGTGAGGTACAGAAACGGGGTGGAGGGAGAAAGCTCTTAGTCACAAACTTCCATGGCTTATACTAGATCCAAGATCATAACAAGAGACTTCAAAAAATAAGACTGTCTTACTTTAACGTTCCTAAACCCAGACTCACTCGGTAAGTTTTTTAATTACAGAGTAAGGCAATGGAAGATGACGCCTCCTCCTTCCTCAGGGCCCCACCCAGGGTGCTCAGCTGTCTCTTGCCGTTCAACGTCTCTGCAGTCTCGGCCAAAAGCTGCGTTACTCGACAACATTCACAAACACCCTTCCAACAGGTTTATTAGTCAAAATAAAACATGCACATACTCTTCCCGCCTTTCTCCACATCTGACCTGTCATTAGGCCCGGCCAGCATGGACACCGAGAAGCAGCGGTACTGGGTGGAGAAGCGGTTCTGGAACACGCGGGGGATGGGGTGGTCGAACATATTAAACGAGAACTAGAGCGGAGAAAACAACACAAAGAGAAGGACGCGTTAATCGGCGCCACAGCCCCCCCGAGCGCTGCCGCAGCGCGGCGGCCGTGCCCCGTGTCCCGGGCTCACCATGGCGGCGGTGCCGGCGCCGGGGCTCCCTCGGGCCGCCGGGTCGGGCCGGGCCGGGGCCGCTGCTCCACCTCACGGGCTGTGCGGGCCCGCCCCGCCCCTCCCGGCGTGCCCCGCGCCGCCCGCGCCGCCATGGCCTGTGAGGGCGGAAGGCGGGATCCCACACCTCAGAGGCGGCATCGTACGGGGCTCTTCTGCTCCCCGAGCCCCCTCTGGGTCATCGAACGTTGTTGCGGCCCCGTCGCCCCTTGGTCGGGCTCGCTTTAATGGCAGAACAAACACCTCGCCCGCGGCAAAGATGGCGGATGCGGCTACAAAAACTCAGAGCGGTACTTCCGGCTGAGGCCCTCTCGGGATTGGCTGGCCGCGCGCATCTCCAATGCCTCCCTCCAATCCCATTGGCGGACACCCGGAATGGGTTGGGCAGTCGGCGCCGCGGCGGCGGGGCTGCCGCGTTCCCATTGGCCAGCGTGCCGTGAGGCGCGGACCAATGGGACGCGGCGCTGGTTTGGCGCCCAGTTTGAGCGGGGACGGCCCGGGAGCGGGGGCTGCTGCTCCTTCCCGCCCGTCCTTCCCGTCCTTCCCGCCCGTCCTTCCCGTCCTTCCCGCCCGCTCCTCATTCCCGCCCGCTCCTCATTCCCGCCCGCTCCTCATTCCCGCCCGCTCCTCATTCCCGCCGCTCCTTCCCGCTCCTCCTTCCCGCCATGTTCGTCTCCGACTGCCGCCGGGAGTTCTACGATGTGATTGTCACCCAGGTGCGGTGATGGGCCGCGACTGGGGCTGTGGGGTTCCCCTCAGGGCTTTCCCCCCACTCAGGGCTCCCGCTCCCCCCCTCCCTCAGGGCTCGCTCTCTCAGGGGTCCCGCGGTTCCCGCCGCTCACGGAGCGGGGCCGGTGCGGGCCGTCCCGGCGCTCCGGGGGTCGGGGGCGGCGGGGGCCGCGCTCCCGGGGCAGCGCCGCTCACCCGGGTCGTTCCCTTTCCCTGCCCTCGGAAACCCGACACAAAGCTGCGCCAGCGCAGGGCTCGCCAGGGTTTGCATTGCAGTTCGCCTGCTTCCTCACGGGTGCTCTGCTGCTCTCCTGGATCTTGTGCTTAACCATGATGTCTCTAAGCTGTTCTGTTTCTATATATCTTTTTAGCTGTTTTGTTGTTGTTCGCCCAGATCCCGTCATCTTTAAGGTTTCTGTTACAATCTTGTAGCAGGTCTGGTTGGCTACTTTCATTTTTAACCCCTGGTTTGCCTAACTGTGTTCACAGGAGATTTATACACCGAGGTGGTAAAGCTTTTGTGAGACAGTGTTTTGGCATTCCTACCCGTGAACCTATATTATGGATTGTGCAAATTCTCTCGATTTCTCCAACTGTGAGCAAAATCTCAAAAAAACCCCAGACTCAAACAAAGCAACACCCTTGCAAAACAAAAATAACAACAAAACTGAAAACAAAACAACAAAAAATCAACCCACCAGTCAACCTTGATTTAGGCAAAACAATTTATTTCACACATTGCCTTGCTCTTACTTTAGTAAGATTTTCTTTAGTCAAAATTGTTCCAGATCCCATGCTGAAAACCAAGGCCTTTCTAGACACAATTAAAATAGTTGTAGGGATTGATTAGTTGTGAACCTTGAAACCGGTGACTGATTCAGAGGAGTCTGAGTAGTTACATTTCCCTAAAGCAGCTGACATATTTTGGGTATCCTTTGGAGTTGCTTTTTGTTCATATTACAGGGATCCAAGCTGGTTAATTTTGGTTGCAGTGTCCATTCAGAAGCAATCCCATTTTATGCTTATGACGATCTCTACCTAAATTTCTGGCCTCACAGTGGTCTATGCATTTCATGTTCCAGCACATCAGATCTGGCACCTGTATTAATATATTTATTTTGTTATTTTTGCAGCGTGTTCTTCTTCTCGTTGCTTCAGATGTTGATGCATTATGTGCTTGTAAAATACTCCAAGTAAGTCTTGGCTCATTATCACTGCAGTAAAAGAAAATATACCCTGGGATCCTTTTAATGGGCTTGAACCAGAGAAAGGGTAAAGGTTTAATCTGCTTTTGTAACTTACTTTTTCCATGAGTTCTGATGGGAAACTGGTGAGTCATGCTCTGGGTTCGTGTAGGTTTGTCATTTGGGATGTCTTGACTAGAAAGGTTTGTAGGGAATAGAGTTTGGCATTGTCGGAGAAGCTGCTTCCTTCCCGTGCACTGACAGCTGTTTGCTTCCCTGCAGGCCCTGTTCCAGTGTGACCATGTGCAATACACCCTCGTCCCGGTGTCTGGATGGCAGGAGCTTGAAACTGCCTTTCTGGAGCACAAAGATCAGGTGAAAAAACACGGGAAACTTTTTAATCTGCAGCTCAGCTTTCAAAGAGAGGCACCTCTTCCCTTTTCCCATTTAAAATGTCAGCTTTTGAACTACTTGTTATTAATGGTTACCTCAAAACTGTTGTAACATTTTATCATACCAGTAACAACCTTGTGAAGTTCTTCATATCAGGTCAAACTAATGTGTTAGAATTTTGATAGAGTCAAATTAGGTTTGCATACCTTTTGAGATATAAAGAATTGTGGTATTGGATGTCCCCAAATTGGGTGCTTTGTCTTAAAAAAAATTTCTGCTACAAAGACATCAAATATCAGAAAGCAAATACAAGTTTTGGCAATGATGAGTGTTTTAAAGGTTTTGTAAAGGTATTTTCAGTCTTTTATGTCCCCTGTTAATTTAAGGAACAAGCTTTTTTTTTTTTTCTCCTTTTTTTGCAGTTCAAATACTTTGTTCTTATTAATTGTGGTGCCAATGTTGACCTCCTGGAAATCCTGCAGCCTGAAGAAGACACTTTTTTTTTTGTGTGTGACAGCCACAGACCTATCAATGTAGTGAATGTTTACAATGACACACAGGTAAAGGCTTTTCTTTCATGATAAAAACCTCCCCACAGTGTGGTGGTGTGTGGTGTAGAGCTTCTCTGTGTTTTGCAAAACTGCTTCCAGCATTAGGTAGTAGGTCAGGAAGCAGCATTAATGAATATTTGCAGTAGTAATGTACATGATCAGAAAAAAAAATCTATTTTCAGCAGCGAAATCTGTACTGTCAGCAGTGTGAGATTTGTCAGTAGTAAACACATATTAATCTTGGTGCTGTAAATCAAGCTGCCATAAATCAGGGGATAAACATCCTCCAGAATGTAATATGTATTATCTCTCAGCATCTAGTAACACCTAGACTTATTAAACACAAATTATTTGATTTTAACAATCAAAAAAAAGTAAAAATAATTAATCCAGTAATGCTGCAAAAAAGGAATATGGGTTTTTTTACCCTTATTTTGTATAAATCAGTATGGTCTTTGTATTAAAAACCAATGTTTTTGATATGCCTGGAATTGAATTTTTGGTTTCTCTTACTGAGAATACTGAAGTATTCTCATTTGTCATTTAAGATGTCTTACTCCCTAAATATATTTTTTTCTTGCTAGATTAAGCTGTTAGTCAAGCAAGATGATGATCTCGATGTTCCTGCTTATGATGATATCTTCAGAGATGAAGAGGAGGAAGAAGAGGATTCAGAGAATGAAAGTGAGGGGTCAGAACCTTCAGACAAACGCAGACGTTTTGAAGAGGTGTGTTTCTGCTACTTTGTTGTGAAAATAAGGAAAACAAAACTGTTAAAACCTATATTTTGCATCGTAATAATTGTATTTGAGTTTAAAAATTGTGTTCCACTAGACCACAAGTTCAAGTGCATCACCAAAAAATAATCAGGTAGAGTTTCACATATAAGGAATGTTTATTTATCTGAACTGCACAGAAATATTTTCTCCCAATAAAAAAAGATGTTTTGAACTTGATTCTGTTTAATGACTTCTTAAAGCTGTGTTCCTTGGAAAAATATTTGATACTAATACTTTTCTCATGAGATGTTGTTCATAGCAATATTGGTTTTTTACTAATTCTTAAAAAAAGTTCTTTATAATGAATACATTAGTTACATTTTTAAATTAAGATGTAATCATTAAAGTGCCTAGATGCTAATGTAGTTTTTAACATCCAAATTAATTCCCAGGATGTAATAGAGAGGACGATGAGAAGGCGACAGAGGCGAGAGTGGGAAGCACGCAGGTGTGTCGGCTGGGTTTTGTGTTGCTTGTACCTCTTTTTCTACTCTTAATCTTTGACTAGATTAATTCTTGTTAAGAATGCAAACATATGATCCCAAGCTGTGATTTGAAAGATGCTTTAGTTCTAATTTTGCTCAGAAAGCTGAGAGGGATATTTACCATATAAAAATAAAAGGTTTAAATGAAGGAAGTTGTAAATAGTAATTTAAAATCTGAGTAGCAATAGGTGCATTGCTTCACTTAAATAGCTGTGGTATTCTTATCCTGTCTGTCCTAGGGTGAGGTCTGTGCTTCTGTCTTCTTTCACAATCTCATTAATAGGAATGGGCAGGAACAAATCAGATAAAATGGGCTTTGAGGAATAATGACTTAATAAATTTTTCCTTTTTGCTTTATGAGTACATTTCAGAATGGTTTCCACATTATTACTAAAGTCTGTTTGCCTTCCACAATTTCTAGCCCAACTTTAATTTTTTTCATAGCTAAAATGAAATTGAGATATTATTCACAATTCTAGACTTGTATTTTCAATTGGATCCAATGACCAGTTCATCCTTTAGTCAAATGTATTGTTTTTTTTCCCCTTTTCAGACGAGAAATTCTCTTTGATTATGAGCAGTATGAGTACCATGGGACCTCAGTAAGTATAAACTCTTTGTTTGCCATAAAAACCCAAGGTGACAATGTAAAGGTAATTGGACAATATCTGAGGTTATAATTACCTATTACAATTATATAATTATCTAATAATAATATGCATTATAATATTGTTGCATTATGCTATTTTTACATATATACAAGTAGTTTAACTTAGTTTAATGTTTTCTAGTTGATTTTTAGGTCTTGACAAAAGTATCTATCTCTGCACAAGATACTTTCACAAAAAGACCTGAGCCTGTAAGGGACTTGTTTGTCTTTCAAAGTTCAGGATAGCCCAAACATGGCACTTAGGACATCAAACTGTTCCTTATGTCCTTTGGCCTTTGATGATATGTTTTGTTAAGTGTTTGCTTTATATATAATGCAGGTTTACAGAGAAATCTGAAACATTTTGCTTTCTACTTAGTATCATAGTAAGACCCTGGCAGATTGTCGGACTCCAGTGTGATGTCCAGA